GGACGCCCAAAGACACAGCCTGCCCTGGGCCTGGTCGTCCCGGACCCCCACCAGCCCCGCCGCTGGCCCAGGCTCAGCCCAGGCAGCCTAGACTCTGTGGCAGAGCCCTGGGTCCCCTCACGTCTGGGCTGGGCCCAGAATTAGAGGGCAGCCCCCTGCCTCTGGATGAATGTAGTAGGGACAGGGCTGGGCCCTCAGGGGTCCGGATGAAACTTAGAATATCACAGTTAAATCCTGGCCTGGAGGAGTCACACTTCCCTCACCGACTCCAGCTTTCCTGTCACCTGCCCTCCCCAAACATACTCCTACTCCGGAGTGCTCATCTCTGCAGACAGACAGGCCACTGCCTCTGGAGTCCTGTGGACAGGCCTTCCTGGCCCATGCCACCACACACCCACAAAGCCACAGCCCAGCGCTGGACAAGGGTGCTGCTCAGCCTCCCCCAGTGAGCAGGGCCAGGGAGTGAGAGTCTGACCCTCACGTGAGGGCACAGCTGTCCCGTCCTGGGACAGCCCTCAACCCCCTCCAGAATATCAGACTGAAGAATCCCAGGAAAAGCCGCCAGGGGCTGGCTCGTTCCTCCTGGCTGGGCGCTCAGGCAACTCCCTTAAATCTTTCTGAGCCTCCGCTTGTCTATCTGTTAAATGGGGGTTGTATGTGCCCTGCCTACATCAGGGTGTGGGTTTGAGGACCAGAAGCTCCACTTAAATCTCAGTTGCTCTTGTTGCTATGCATTTATTTATTCCTTCAACAAGTATTTTTGAGTATTACATATGATGCACTGAGGTCCAGTGACAAACGAAACAGACAAGGACCCTACTCTCCTGGACCCTACATTCTGGCGAGGGAGAGAAGCCATAGACACAGAATGTACACAGATAGTTTCAAGCAGCAAGTAAGTGCTGAAACAGAGTGGAACAAGGTGATGGGGGAGAGAGGCACAGGGGCGAGGATTGGGCGCTGTTTCAGACAAAGTGGTCCAGGAGGGCTTCCCTGAAGAGGTAACGTTTGGTTGGCCCAAGGGCCAGAGAATGAGAAAGGGGCTGTCGCCTGAGATCAGGAAGAAGCGCATTCCAGGGAGAGAGAGCAACAAGGGCCAAGACCCCAAGAAAAGGACAAGCTTGCTGTGTTTTAGGAACAGTGAAAGGACATTCATTTACCTAAGGACTCAAAGCTTGCTGTCCCAGAGACAGCCAAGGGGACACCACCCCCAGGATGGCTTCTTGAGCCTCTGCCAAATGGCCACCAGAGGGCAGCAGTGCTCTTCCCTTCCAGGCTGACTGGCATGGGACGCTCCAAGGACACTTGAAGAGCGGCTGTTTTCCTTGTGCTGCTGCTCTAAGCTTGTTCACGGCCTCTGGGCATGGTCAGCACTTCGAGATTTGTGAGGCAGGAGAATCCCAGTTTCTTAAGCTTAGTGTGAAATGGGCAAAAATTGCAACATCAGTGATCCAGACAAGAATCCACATCGGTGAAAAATACTTGCATAAGGGGCCTGGGGAGCTCATGGATTCTCTGTCCCTGCAAACTCTAAAGCCATAATCTTTTTCTCCTGGCTACAGACAGCATAGATAATGCCCAGCCTGAAGAGGGCAGCCAAGATGACCTCTTAGGGTCTCCATGGCCACATAAGTATCCTTCCTGAGCTCCAAGAAGAGTTGGGGATGTTAGCCTATGACTTCTGGGTGTCATCTGACTTGGAAGATTCTCCTAGAGGCAGGGCAGAGGAGACGGGGTCAGGGAGGAAGTTTGGGGAGCCTCTTCTCCCCACCCCAACTGTGGAATAAGAATTGGTTTGTCCTGGGCAGCAGCATAGACCTGGCACAGGCGTAGGTGTCCCGGAGCACAGCTCTGTCTGTCCTTCATGGAGGTAGCATTCTACATGTCACTCAGGTTCTGTGGGAGTCAGCTGGACTGTGGATTGGACATATGGAGTGTGGGTGTGTGTGCAGTAGCTGTGCACCGC